GCACTCGCATCGCAGAAGACGCTGGAATCTGCGGATTGCAAATCAGACGCGAGGAGGTGCAAGAACTGGAGATTTTTGTGGCGTGACGTCCCTAGTGCCAGGGACCCTCGGTTAGGAAAATAACGTCACAAGAATAAGAGCGACTCCTTCTCTAGCTTCCCCTTTAAGTTTCAACTGTCTCTCTGTACGTAGAAATGAATCACCATCGACGCAGGTTAGTTTTCTCTGTTTTCAACCTCAATTACCAACTGGGTACGCCTGTGTGGCATTGCAAGAATAAGTGTTAGTACTTTTCAGAATTTAAATTTAAGGCCTATGCCGAATATCCACCCCTTTCTATCGTATTCTGCTGCGCCAGCAAGTCTTACAGTTTGAGTAGGCTAAGCTCGCTTAGCCGGCAACCACTCTTGAGATAATTAAGGCAAATGATTACACCATACCACAGCTCAATCTAAAACGTTGCTTACGATGGTGTCTATTTAAAATTCGCTATGAGAGTTATACGTTTGACGAGGGCTATTAATATCAGAGTTGGTATGAACAGAAGTAAGCTTCAGCACTCTTAAGACAACCGACTAATTATCAAAACGAGCCCTTCATGGCATCGCATTCCAATGTACACAGTTGGACCTTTTAAAGCCAAATCGTTAAATACATGATTTGCAGGGGTAGAAGTTTGTACCGCAAAGCAGACATAGCTTCAGTATTCCTATGCTAACCGACTTATTAGGGACTTAAAGCACTCAAGAGCTTAAAAATCCCCACTGGCAGGAGGCAGACCAGTGGGCTATTTATGGAGCGCAGCCGAGGAGTTGAACTAGGGGCATCCGAGAACAAATCCAGTGAGAGGCAGGGTGGAGGACTTGAACCCAGGACACCGGATTACAAGTCCAGCACCCTAACCACTCGGCTATACCGCCTCCTTCGAATTGTATCAGAAAGTATATCTCACTTGACCCTTTTGTTCCCAAGAGCTTATTGTTAATTCTCCCCTCTGGCTGCTACCAGGAGAAGTGATGGGCTCCTGCTGTTAATCATTTCTTTGTTAACTAGTAAGAAGAATTTGGTGTTAGATCAAGGTAACAAGTTCTACCTGATAAGTTTTAGTATTCTCATTACCTATCTGGTGGATGATGGACGGATGTTATAGGGTGAAGTTACATGTTATATTTTCTGAGAGTGAAAGGGTTAATATGAGACAAGAGTGAATAAATGACAAGACAATTTTAGCATGTTGTATGACGATGGCTACCCCCCGCCCCCCAAAAAATCTCCGATTGAATTTCAAAAGAGGTAGAAGAGAGAAGTAGCTAATAAGTCCGCTGAGTGATGGAAATTATTTTAAAAAGCACTCGCATTGTAGAAGACATTGGATTCAGCGGATCACAAATGAAGACGCGAGGAGGTGTAAGAACTCGAGAGTTGTGGCGTGACGCCCCTGGTGCCAGGGACCCTCGTCTAGGTTAGTGACGTCACAAAAAAGGAGTGCATTCTTTTCTAACTTCCTCTTTCAGTTTCGACTGTCTCTGTATGTAGAAATAAATCACCATCGACGCAGGTTAGTTTTCTCTGTTTTCAACCTCTATTACTAACTGGGTACACCTGTGTGGCTTTGCAGGAATACGTGTGAGTACTTTTCAGAATTTACATGTAAGACTTATGCTGATCATCCACCGCTTTCTATCATATTCTGCTGCGCCAACAAATCTTCTAGCTTGAGTAAACTAAGTTCGCTTAGCCGACTACCACTCTTGAGATTATTAAGCAAATGACGGCACCATACCACAGCTCTGAAACGCTGCTTACGATGGTTTCTGTTTAAAATTCGCTATGACAGCTACACGTTTGACTAGTCGTAATTGACGCTTTGGCTGTTAGTATCAGAAATAGTGGGAACAAAACTATAGGCTTCAGCACTCTTATGATAACCGACTTATTATTAAAACGAGTTCTTCATGGCGTGAGTTCGTGTAGCCTTCCAATGTACATCATTAAAAGCATGATTTGCTGGGAGAGAAGTTTCTACCGCGTAACAGACAAAGCATACTTTCGCTTTTACTACTGAGTGATAATTTGTCAATCTGAATGATCAGCCGTCGTCAGCTCATTGCTGTCTTATTAGTGGTGTCCTGAAATCCAATCATTTCGCTATCTTGTCTGGGAGACGAAATTATTTAGCGTATTGTTGTCATATCCAAGAAACTGTTGATCTTCAACGCCTTCAAAGAGCTCTAAAAATTCTGACTGCGCTTCTTCTAATGTTGTAGCACATGTGAACAGTAAATCATTATAATTACAACTGAAATAGATAAAAGTATTTTGAGTTCTCAAAGCGGGACGGGAAACATTTGAGGCTGAAAATTGGACTTCCTTTACCTTCGATTTCAGGAAAATTAAACATGAATTCCTTGTATATTACGGCAAGTTTTCAAGTAAACGTAACAAAGCAACTGAGCTGAGAGCAATACGTTTCTCAACCACTCCGCTTACCGAATTCGTTTAACAGCAAACAAGAACTGAGAAAGCAAAGCTTTTAAAGAAGTATGTAACGATTAACGATAGCTGTTCATGTGGAGTATTTCTTACAGAAAGGTGATGATATCACCACCTTAAGAATGAATATCGTTCTTTGACGATGTCGAAAAYGGTACACCAGTTGACGAAGCTGCCTTATTAAATAAGTATATTTTCCGGCGTGGCTTACACCACCCTCGACTGAAGAAGCGGCGAACGAACTCATGCGTGAGTTTCATCGTAATATCTGAACATAACAACCTGCATGGCAACAGTTTGGAAGAAGGGTTTTTTTCCTTCATTTCAGTTCGACATTGGTGGATCGTTTTTTCTTTTCATGATTTGTCAAGGGTGGACTGATTACAATAGGGGAACGTAGATTATTCATCAAGGGTAAGACTGAATGCATGGCCAGAATTTAATTTCACGCACGCGCAGTAGTTATCGACACTTGGAAAACAACCCTTTAGTGTAAACAACCGATTTTAGAGAGAAATATGTGGCACTTTAACTTCTGCGATAAACTGTACAAAATCCTATGAGCCTGGGTAAAATGTTCGATCTGATATAGACAGTGCAACTTCCATGGATTAAAAATTTGCCAAAAACGAGTCTGTAGCTTAAAGTTTCGCGCTTCCTAACCAAAAATTGAAAAGCAGTAAAACCTACCTTCGTATTCTGTACAAATATCTATAACACCAAGTACCGCGCTCTAAATGATGATTTTCTTTGCTTCGTGGGCACAACACCGTCTGTAAATTTCAATTTGTTCGGTCCGAAATTTCAAGTTGACATTCATCTCTTTGAAGTTGTCATTGTTTAAGCATCTGTAAATGCATCCTTGTCCTTCCCATCCCCCAACAATGAAGGTCAATATTCGGGTCTCTTCATAAATAACACAGCAGCGTGATGACATAGAGCATTCGAAAATGTTCAGCCCATCATGGCACTATCTTTCCTGCGATACATCGATCTTCTGCTAATTTCTAGTCGCCATTTTGCTCTCATCGCTTGATTTAGGGCTAAGTACTAGTCATCGTCTTATTACAGGACCTTTTAATTTGTCTAAAAAAGGCAAAAGATGATTGTATATATCCGGATACGTGATAACGAAGATAAAATTTGCCGCGAAATATGAATAAACGCGTGGCAAATTTGACAGCTTTGTTGCATTTCATTCATCGATGAAAGATAAAATCTTTTACTTAAAAATGTCAGATATGCCAACTGCAAGAAGATTTCTACCTCATTACGTATCAGAAGACATCCGTGGCACAACTGTCCAGCCTTGGTGGAACAATCAGCTGAAATATGTACAACAACAAAAACAAAATAGTAAGGAATCCTTTTGCTGTGTTGACATCCCCATTACGTTGCTGCTCTGCTGGGAAACCATTAAAAAAACACTGCGGACTTCAAATCATTTGTGCGGGTTTTAAATGAACACATCCCTGGGGGTGGATTTGCTATCAAAGACACGGCAGGAAGAATCGAGGAGCGCCTTTGCGTGAAATGTGCGTCGATTTCAAATCAGTTTAAAACCGCATCTGGCCGCAAAATAAAGGATTTGCTGAGTGGCAGTTACAGGATGAATATATTTTTGGAGGAAGTTCAGTCAGTTGAGATGTTGCATACAGAATTACAAAAAGAGACAAAAATAAGAAAAAAATCTAGTAAAAGAAAACCAAAAAATATACGAAGAACTCCTTGAGGAGATCAAGCAAAAAAAAATCAGGGAAGATCAGATGTTAACTGAAACTGAGTCACAGAAAAAATATATTAAAAAAACTGGAAACAAAAAGTGGGACAGACAAAAATGCAAAAGAACTATCAACCCTCAGTCCCACTACGAAGTGGAGATATCTGAAAATCAGGGCACAAAAAGCTCTATGGTTTTTTAGAGCCTATGGCCTCAAACTGAACAGTTTAGAGGTTGAAGAAAGAAACAGTACATGCACAACCCATAATTTCAGTTTAGATGACCCTTCCTCAACAGTCCCTACCGACACTGGTAGCACTTCAAAATACTCAACACTCATAGAAGATGACAAAAAGAAAGTGGAAGAGGTTTTATTTTTAATGGACCGGTTCAGTGTGAGCAAAGAATTCTACCATCAACTAACAATGGTGTGTGAAGGACTGCCAAGATCATATTTGGTAAAACAGTGCAAGAATCATCTCAATGAATTAAGTCACCTTATTGTTACACCTGGGAAATCACAGGGTGTACAAACTTCATTTAAAGAATTGCTAAAGGAGCAAATAATCGACTTGGTAAGTTACATAGCATTCATTTGTAAAAGTCTTTCTTCAAATATGTTTATGTAATAGATTTTTTAACTTGAACCAGCATGCCACTGGGAGTGTAACAAAATACATGTACGTGTACCATAGACACAGGAAATATGTTCAGTATTCACAGCTTTTCAGCTCACACTAAAACATGCAGCATAAAATTAACATCATTCTGTTTATTCATGCAATTTTAGGAAGAATCACGTGGTCATTCAGTGAGTGATACACAGAGACCGATTAAAGTAAAGATCAGTGGAGATGGCGCACAAATGACAAGAAACAGCAACTACATTATCTTGTCATTCTCAATTCTACAAAAAGACCAACTTATGTCATCAAGAGGTACTTGACGGTAGAGCTAAACAACACTGATTTACAAACAAAAAGAGCTTATAAGTCACTAATTAGCTCACAACATTTCTTAACATTTTATTTAATCAGGTGAACTATATTAAAGCCTGAAGACCTCTTAAGGATACAAATGTTGCTAATCACTTTGTCTCCCTTTCCAACACAAGAGCTGTTTGTAAACACATGCTCACACACATTTTAATTTTAACAGGGAACCGCACGATTGCAGTTGTGAAAGGCAGTGAGGATTATACGTCAATTGCAGAGTCATTTCAGGATGTCTTACAAGAAATCAATGAAGCACAAGAGGTTGGCTTTGTCAAAGTGGAGGAAAACCAAATCCCTGTGGAGTTATTCCTTGGTGGAGACTATAAAGTTAGTAAATGTTACATTTGAAGATGCATGAACATGGGTTTGATTATTGGATGTCTTGGGCCCATATTATATAATCAATCACTGACATTAACTCATTTAAATGAAGTGGAAACAAATCAGCCTCAAATTTCTACCATTTAAACAAAATATGATGCTCAGGAAAATATACTTAATTCCACTATTTCGGACACTGTTATTACTTTTCTCAAATCCTCATATTATTATCCTCTCTTCCAGTTTCTTTTGCTAATCATGGGTCTAAGTGGTGCTACATCACACTATTCTTGCTTGTGGTGCACAATACACAAAGATAGAAGGTTAGTGAATCTGATAGAGAAATACTCTAGCAGATTAAAATCAACATGTCAATAGAAAGAAACCAACCATTTTTAACATTTAGTGACAGAGATGCTCCACCTGGAGTCTTTTACAAATGCAACACATTTTCATTGTGTACATTGACTGTTGTTAGTTTAGAGAGCTAACCTCATTTTTCACACCATAGGTATGATATGTCCAAGCCAGAGAACTAATACGAAAGCAGCCCACAGAAACGAACACTAGAAGATTTAAAAAGGTGCTGTCATTTAAAGCCAGGAAACAAACACTTTTCCTGTATCAACCTCCCACTACTCAACATACCCCTAGGTCACATCATCCTTGATGAGCTGCATCTGTTACTAAGGGTAACAGATGTACTTACTTGCAATCTTCTGGATGAGATGATTGAGTGGGATGATGAGGAAGCCCACAAAAATAAAGTTTCTAATCCTAAAGCTATAGGGCAGCATTTGCAGGAGGCAGTGCAGACCATAAACAAATGTGGCGTAACATTCCATGTCTGGGAGAAAAAGAATGCCGATGGCAAAGGTTCAGGTACCCATGACTGGACCAGTCTGATGGGAAATGAAAAAAAGCTGTTGCTAAGGACCTTCCCTGGACACTTTTCTACTCTTTTGAGAAAAGACACTGCTACAACTGTGGAGAAAATATAGAAGGTACCAATATTACTCTTTCAAATAAGAAAATTTTTAAAACTGAAAAACATTATTACTTTATTTTAAGCTGCATCATTTAACAAATGTGGTTACAGTTTTTCTTAAAACTGTGTGCAAGTAAATCAATATCTTAACCCACTAACAAAATTCTACAAATTACTGTATGGCTCATTAGAGCAAAGTACATGCCCATACAAAGTTACCTGAGTTATTTAACAATTGGTTCATGCTTTAGCATGCATTATCGAGTTATGGAGCACTCGGGAAGTTTGG